TTGATTGAAATAAAAAGTATTCAGTATTGGGTTAAGGATGTAGCTTAGTGATAGAGAGCTTGTCTAATATGTATAAGAGTCTGCTCACTACTGCCAGCCCTGTAAATATAAGAAAAATGAAATTACTGAGTGCACATGCCACCATCATATTTCTGAGAACCAACCCAGGATGGGTGGAAATTCAGAGACGAGAGTGAGACTCACAGACTGAGAGGCACATTGCAGATTGGGCAGGAAGCCTCAAGTAGCTGGGGCAGCAGTGATCTGAGAGGTGTAGGCAGGTGTGGCCATGCTGCCATCCACTGGTGTGCTGGAGCAAAGTGTTCCAGGTGGTAGCCTGTACTGAGAAGCTCTGTTGTCAACCCTGCCTCAGTTGGGGCTTTTTTTCCCAGTTGCTGCTCACTGCAGTTGGTTTTAATATATATACACATATAGATGTAAATATATATTCATTATGGTTATTACTAATAATTATCCTCAGAAGGTAAATTCATGTACAATTAAAATATGAGAAAGTCATGCTTTGAATTTAAATTTATATGATGCCAAAGCCTGTTTTCCAAATACTTTAAATATACAAGTAGGTTCAGTCTCCTCTTTATGAAGCAAAAATATTTAGTGTTCTTATTGAAAATACTCATTTCTGTGCATTTTGTTTCAGTAATGTCCCTTTTTGTAGTACTGGGGAAGGATAAAGAGTTGAACACATGCTAACCAAATGGTATAACGCTGAACTACAATCCTAACCTCCCTCAATATTTTCATATTAGTAATCATTGTTCTTTGACTATTCTGTTTGTTTAATACTCAGTGTTATGGCTTGTGTTTAGATGTCCCCCTCATAGGCTTATAGGCTCAGGAGGTTTCTGCTTGGAAGAAGTACTGCCTTGGTTGTTGGACTCCAGATGAAGTGTGTTATAGCTTGGCAAAAAGTTTGTCAGCATTTTACTCATATCCAGAAATTTTGTCTCAGACCGAGATTAAGGGTAGAGGGCTAATTAATCTGGCCAAAGAAATTTCAAGGCAGTCAGATATTGAGCCAGTGGCATGGCTACTGTTGGGGGCTTTTAGCCAGATCTTTGTTGAGAATGAAAAGCAAGGTGCCTAGCAGAATAAATTAGAATTGAGTTTGGCCAAAATGGAAGCTTCTAGTAAAGCTGTGAACTACAAAAAGAGAGCTGAGGTGATTTTGATTGCTGAGAGGGAACAAGAGATTAGACAAGATGTTTTGAAGGCATTACAAGAAACAGCAAGTTGGGGCTGGGGGTTTAGCTCAGCAGCCTAAGTGCCTGCCTTGAAAGCAGGCAGTCGTGAGTTCAATCCCCGGTACCGATAAAAATGAAGAAGACAAAAAAAAAAAAAAAAAAAAAAAAAAAAGAAAAGAAAAAAAGAAACAGCAAGTCTCCATCCTTGAATCCTCAAAATTGCAATAGCAAGACTTTGCTTTAAGGAGCAAGCCTCAGTGCTCCATGTTCCAGAATGGTGGTGGTATAGAAAAATTTGTTCTTCAGATTCAGATTCAGAGTGTCCAGCAATCCAGGCACTCGACCCTTAGAGCTGAGAGACAGGAAAGCATCATCCATGTGGTGCTTGTTTTAGGTGCATGCAGAATGCGGTTTTAAAAGCTCTTGTTTTGGTTTCAGAAGGCCTGGAAGGTCAGGCAGTGTGCTCCTGAGAGGGCAGTATTTGAAGCTGTAAGTATGAAGCTGAAGATGCAGTGGAGACCCAAGAACTTTGGAAAAGCCAGGAATGTTGATCATTTAAGGAAAGTTGCAATGAGGGAGCAAAGCAGGCGTAAGAAATAAACCATGGTAGCTGTAACCATCAGAAATGACACAGGGGGTGGAGTCACTCAACAGCTTTGCAGCTCATAATTTGCCACAGATTGCTTCAGATACTGCACATGGAACTACTGGACTTAATGTTCACCCTATTGAATTTTGAACTTGTTTTAGTCTCAATCCTTTGAATCTCCTATTTGTAGCTTTTGGAATGAAAATGTTTATCTTGTGCCATTGCATGTTGGAAGTGTTTAATTTTTCATTTGAACAAGGGCTTGCAGCTGAGTTTTCCTTACATGTCAGAGGCTTGGGACTTGGACTTTTCAACAATGCTGAAGCTGTTAGGATTTTATCAGTTGTTAGTGATAGTCTAAATGCATTTTGTACAAAGGGATGTGTATGAGTCTTTGGGAGGCCAGGGGTGGAATGTTATGATTCTAGTGTAATATAGTAGTGATAGACATAATACTGTTCCTTAAAAATTGTTCAACTTGTGTTATAATGTTCAAATTGTGAAATGGTAAGAATAAGCATGTCTTTGTAGCTGGAAACTGGTTTAAAGAAATGTGTCTGATTGCTAACTTGGCAAGGGGTGGATTGTAATGTATGATACCTTGTGTCAACTGTAGAAGTTTAGAAGTTTAATTAAGCAGGGGGCCAGGATCCTAACTTTGTAAAACATCCTCATCCTGTGCAAGAGAAAGGCACTGAGATCACTGAGTGAGTGTTAAACCTGCGTGGATGGGAGGGGATGTAGCCTGCATATAATATAAAGAGAAAATGTCTTATTCTTCCCCTTCTGCTCTTGTTGCTTTTGCTGCTTCTGCCACCTTGAACAGCTGCCCCTCTGTTATGCAGCCTTGGAGCCAGCTGATTATGGACTGAAATCTTTACAAACTGAGCTAGATAAACTTTTCTTTCTTTCTTTCATTTTGAGCATCTGGTATTTTGTCTCAGCAAGAAGAGAAAAGTAAGCCAAGAGGGTCTCACAAAGTATCCCAAACTAGTTTTGAATTGTCATCCTCCTGTATTTGAGATTACAGGCCTGTGCTGTGCTGTGCTGTCCTCGGTTTCACTTTGGAAATTCCTGTCATTTGCAAGTGATCTAACATGACATTTGTACCTATTCTAAACATATTAAACAAAACAAAGGTTTTCCCAAGAAAATTACAGACAGCAAAAGGGAAATATGGGCACGCCTTTCATAGTACATATGCTGGCTGCTCTGCCTGGAGCATTAGCCAGTAGGACAAAAAGAAAAACGCAACGGATTTTCTCTATTTATAAGAAGAAAGGACAAATTCTCAGATGGTTAGCAGATAGGCCACAGACGCGGCTTTCTTGGTGTCAGAAGCTGCTAGTGTGAATTCTGGCGAGGCTGACTGCCCAGCCCCGCACACTGCTGCAGTTTGGGGCAGAAGGGTCAAGGAAGGGTTGGCGGATCTGGGCTGCAGAGCACTCCTGCAGCCCTCACAGAAACCTCAGCCAGCCTGAGAAACGGGCGGGTCTATTATTTGCACCATACATACATTTTGGGAAATGGAAACAGACGGAGGGTTACCGGGTATGTCCGTGGAGGCGGCAACGATTCAGACCTGGCTAGACTCACTCTGCTGCCCGCCGCCGCGTGGCCCCGATACCACCACTCCTGTCCCCACAGCACAGCAGCCTGTGGCTCGCTACCGTTGCACCTACCAAGGGCTCATATTCGCTTGCGCAGTAACAGAGGCCTCTAGGAGGGCGGCACAGGCAGAAGGCTTTTGCCGAGGTGGGCGTCACTGCAAGAGGCTGGGACGTGTAGATGACAACGCGGTGGCTGCGGTTTCAGGCAGATCCCCCGATAAAGGAGTGCGGGGTATGTGGTGGGAAGAAGCAGCGTGTGGTTTGCGGGGAGAGGGGTAGCAGAGCTGTGAGCATAGTGACCGTGAGTAGGTGAGGAGTGTGAGAGGAGGGTGAGGTGTGGCGCGAGGGTGGCAACTTATGCTTACCTGGTAAGGGAAATGCTATTATCATGAAGGTGACCTTCCTAAAACTGAGGTTTATCCTTTGTCTTTTGGATATGCTCACATTGCAGTTTTTCCAGGTGTAGGCAACAGACTGCATGGTTTGTGGTGGGGATTACTACATTTATACTTCCCTGATTGTTTTGTTTCTTCCTGTTTTGTGTTGCTTTGTAGGATTGATTCAGTACATTTTGAGGGAAATAATGGTTGTTTTTGACACAGGGTCTTGCTATGTAGTTGTTGGTCTATGCAGGCTAGTCTGGAAGTTGTAGTGAAGTTTTACACCTGAAGTTTTAGACGTTTCAAGGACTCTGCCTAATGAAGTGCATGATTTCCAGAGAATTTTGACCATAGATGTTTATTGGGATTCTCCCACCAAATTTCCCCTGCCTTCTTCTATTTATTCCTGTAAAAGGGAAATATTTCTCTTTGTTTAGAGCAGGTGGTCTTGTGTCATTCTCTGCCTGCTTGCACCCTGACCCAGTACATTCCTGCTTTAGGCTCCTAAATGCTGGGATTACAGAAATGTTGCCATGAGTGAGAAGTTGTTGTTATTGTTTTCTTTTTCTTTTTTTTTTGTCTTTTTCCTATTTATCGGTACCGGGGATCAAACTCACGACTGCCTGCTTGCAAGGCAGGCGCCTATGCTGCTGAGCTAAATCCTCAGCCCCTGTTATTGTTTTTTTAATGCAGTAGGTTTTTCTTTTTCTTGTTCTAGTTTCTTAAACTCTGCACCATAAAACTTATGTTGCATTGTGTTTATCTTTTAAATAGAGCTGATTGGGCTGGGGTTTTATCTCAGTTCAGTGGCACAAGCATCTGCCTGCCAAGCATGAGATAGTGAGTTTGATTCGCAGTACCAAAAAAAACCAAAAACCAAAACAACAAAAAAAGTTCAATTATAGTTGGAGTATGCAAGCAGACATTATACTGCTGTTTATGCTTTTTTTTGCAGGTGTGGGGGACGGGGATTGAATTCACGACCTTGCGCTTGCCAGGCAGGCGCTAATGCCCCTGAGTTAAATCCCCAGCCCTGTTTATGCTATTGTTAAACAAAAGAGTTGAGCCTCTGTGGAGCTTGGTAATCTGCAGGGAGGCTTGTACCCACTGCCTTTCACATATTTAGTAAGGAAGGCTGACAGGTAACTAAATGTGGGAGAATCTTTTCTCTTGAGTTTTTTGTTCAGTTAGGGTGTGTTTCTCTCTTTTGAAACAGGATGTCTCAGGCTGTTCGTCTGTCAATACCTTGTCCAGTTCAACTTGGTACCTTAAAAAATGACTCCTTAGAAGCACAACTTCATGAGTATGTCAAACAGGGGAACTACGTAAAAGTAAAGAAAATTCTGAAGAAAGGTAAGTGTGTGTTGAGGTGGTTGGTGTAACTGCGTCCACTTTGCTGGAGTAGGTGGGAGAAAAATTATTTTTATTTTTTAAAGAGATTAAGACAAAAGAGGACATAACAAAGTAGCTCAGATCATAAAAATGTAAGCAACACAGCGTTTTACCACAAGACAACCCATAATTAACAGTAACTACCATAATGTCTCTTTCTTTGAAATAGTTGAGCATAACTTCATATACGATAGTATCAAACATAACAAAACAGTATAAAAGCATTCAAGAGATTGAAAGCATTACAGGGCTTTCTAACCAAATAACAGAGAACAAACAATGACTACTATATTATCTCATTTTCCATAGAAAATTTGTTTATACTATCACACATGATAATATCGAATAAGATATAACATGAAGAACCAAAGGAAACAGGAACAAAAGCATAGTAGGAATTCAAAGTAAGATGATATTAAATCAGCACTGGCTATTCTAATGTCTTACCTTCTTCAAAATAGCTGTTCATACTATCACAGATAATAAAATCAAACAAACCAGGATATAACCATTCCAACTAATGAATGCAAACATTATAAAGCTTCAAAGCAATGTAATGGGGAATCATGATTACCATAAACTCTTATGTACTCTTACTATTTCTTACACTAGGGAGACTATGTGGTATTTATACATGTGAGTTTCATTTATTTTGCTTCTGAGTATGATCTCAAGTTGTGTCCATTTATTTATAAATATATCAATGTGATCATTATTTATAGCTGAATAGTACTCCGCTGTATAAAAATACCACAACTTTTTTTATCCATTCATCAATTGATGGATACTTAGGTTGTTTACAAGATCTGGCTATTACAAATTGTGCTGTTATAAACATGGGTGCACATATATCACTGTGGTATGATGTTTTCACTTCTTCTGGGAATATGCCCAGAAGTGGAATAGCTGGAACAAATAGGACTTCCAAGCCCAGCTTTTTGAGGAATCTACAGACTGATCTTCACAGTGCTTGCACCAGGCTACCACTCCTACCAACAGTGCAGGAGTGTTCCTTTTCCCCCACAGCCTCTCCAGCATTTGTTGGTAGTTTTTTTGATCCTGGCCATTCTTTCTGGAGTGAGATGGAATCTCAGTGTCGTTTTAATTTGCCTTTCTCTAATGACTAATAATGATCAACATTTTTTCATGTATTTATTTGCCATTTGTATTTCTTCATGTGAGAACTATGTATTCATCTCAGATGCCCATCTTTGGATTGGGTCTTTGAATTTGGAGGGTCTAGTTTTTAAAAATTCTTTATATGTTTTAGACAGAAGTCCTTTGCCTGAGGGACAGTTCACTAAGACTTTTTCCCAGTTTGTGGGTTTTCTTTTCACTAATGCTAGAGATTTCTTTTGGCATGCAGAAATTTTTTAAGACGAGATCCCAGCTATCGACTGTGGGAAGTTGTTCCCGTGCGGTTTGATTCCTGAATCATGAATTCTCTACCTACACCTATGTCTTTAAGATTTTTACCTAATTTGTCTTCCAACAGATTTAGTGTTTCTGTTTTAATAGTCATATCTTTGATCCATTTAGATTTTAGTTTAGTACATGGTGATAGGCATGGGTCTAGTTTTAGTTTTTGGCATGTGGAAAGTCAGTTTTTCCAGCATCATTTATTAAAGAGACTGTCGTTTTTCCAGTGAACACGTTTGGCTCCTTTATCAAAGATAAGGTACTTGAGTGTGTTTGTAGTTGTGGTTGTATATTCTAGTCTATTCCATTGATCTTCAGATCTGTTTGATTCCAGTACCATGTGATTTTATTGCAGATGCTTTGTAGTATAACTTCAAGTCAGGGATTGTGATGCCTCCTGCTTTGCCTTTGCTGCTTAGAATTGCCTTTGCTATTCTAGGTCTCTTCTGGTTCCAGATGAATTTTAGAAGTGATAGCTCTAGGTGTTTGAGGTATGTTGATGGTATTTTCATTGGGATTGCATTGAATCTGTATAACAGTTTTCGGAGAATGGCCATTTTTAAAATATTTATTCTTCCTATTCATGAACAAGGGATGTCTTTCCATTTTCTGAGATTATGTTCAATTTCTTTTTTCAGGTTATTATAATTTTCCCTGTATAGATCATTTACTTCTTTCGTGAGATTAATTCCTAAGTATTTCATTTTTTTGGATGCTAGTGTGAAGGGTGTGGCTTCATTTATTTCTCTCAGTGATTTTGTTCTTAGTGTATACAAATGCTATTGATTTTTGAGCATTGATTTTTATATCCAGCTACATTGCTGAATTTATTTATTATATCTAGGAGTCTTTCAATGCAGTTTTGTGGGTCTTCTATGTAGAGTATAATGTCATCTGCAAATAATGATAATTTAACTTCCTCTTTTCCTATCTTTATCCCTTTTATTTCTCTTTCTTGTCTAATTGCTCTGGCTAGAATTTCCAGTAGTACGTTAAATAGGAGCGGTGATAAGAGACATCCTTGTCTTGTGTCTGATTTTAAGGTAAAAGCCTTCCGTTTTTGGCTATTTAATACGATGATGGCTGTTGGTTTGTCATAGATGGCCTTAATCATATTGAGGTAAAGACCATCTATTCCGATTTTCTGTAAGGTTCTTATCATGAATGAGTGTTGGACCTTATCAAAGCCTTTTCTGCATCTATATAAATGATCATGTGATTCTTCCTTTTGACTTTGTTGATATGGTAGATTACATGTATTGATTTATGTATGTTAAACCATCCCCTGCATGCCTGAGATGAATCCTACTTGGTCATGGTGTATAATCTTCTTGATGATTTGCTGCATCCTATTTGCCAGTATTTTATTGAGGATTTTTGCATCTGTGTTCATTAGGGATATTGGCTTGTAGTTTTCTTTTTTAGTTGTGTCTTTCTCAGGTTTTGGTACTAGAGTAATATTTGCTTCCAGGAATGACTTAGGAATGATTGCTTCTCTTTCAATTTCATTGAACAGTTTAAGGAGTGTCGGCATTAAGTCTTCTTTGTGTTTCTTGTGAATCCATCTGAGTCTGGGTTCTTTTTTGTAGGTAGGGACTTAATTACATTTTCAATTTCATTAATGGAAATCACGTTATTCAGCAGTTTTATATCTTCTTGACCCAGCTTTACTACTTCATTTGTTTCTAGGAATCTGTCCATTTCTTCTGTGTTATCGAACCTATGAGAGTAGAGGTTTTTGAAACAGGTGTGGATGATCTTCTGTATTTCCACAGAGTCTGTCGTGATTTCGCCTTTTTCGTTCGTTATTGCATGAATTTGAGCTTTTTTATTTCCTTTTTTTTAAAAATAAGGTTGGCTCAGGACTTACCAGTTTTATTTATTCTTTCAAAGAACCAACTTTTTTTTTTGCCTTTTTTGTTTTTATTGGTACCAGGGATCGAACTCACGACTGCCTGCTTGCAAGGCAGGCACTTATGCCGCTGAGCTAAATCCCCAGCCCCAAGAACCAACTTTTTGATTCATTGATTTTTAGGATGGTTTTCTTAGTCTCTATTGCATTAATTTCTGCTCTGATTTTTATAGTTTCCTCCCTTTGGCTTTGGGCTTGACTTGCTCTTCCTTTTCTAGATGTTTGAGATATAGCATCAGGTTATTTAATTTTATTCATTCTGTTTTCCTGATGTGGGAACTCAGTGCAGTGAGTTTTCCTCTGAGGACTGCTTTCATTGCATCCCACAGATTCCGGTAAGTTGTATTTGTATTTTTGTTTGCTTGTAGGTATTGTTTAAATGCTTCTTTAATTTCCTCTTTGACCCACTGATTGCTCGAGTGTATTATTCAATTTCCATATGTTTGTGTGGTTTTTGCAGTTCCTTTTATCATTAATTTCTAGTTTCATGGCACTATGATCTGATAACATGCATGGGGTAATTTCAATTCTTTTGCATTTATTTAAATATGTTCTATAAGCTAGTATATGGTCTATTTTAGAGAATGTCCCATGTGCCACTGAGAAGCGTGTATATTCTGATGTTGTTGGATGGAACACTCTATATGTCTTACTTATCAAGTCCATTTGCTCATACATGTGATTTAGTTCTGTTATTTCTTTGCTGATTTTCTGTCTGGTTTTTCTGTTCCTTGGTTTCAATGGTGTGTTAAAGTCTCCTGTTATAACTGTGTTATTACTAATTTGATTTTTCATTTCTATTAATACTTGCTTTGTATAACTGTGTGCTCTGGAATTTGGAGCATATATATATATATATATATATATATATATATATATTTTATCGTTACCGGGGATCGAACTCGCGACTGCCTGCTTGCGAGGCAGGCGATGGTGCGTATATATTTAAGAAAGTTATCTCTTCCTCATGAAGTTTTCCCCTAACCAGTATGTAGTGATTTTTTTTATCCCTTAGGATCATTCTTGATTTGAAGTTCACATTATCTGCAAATAGAATAGCTACCCCTGCTTTTTTTTCAGTTCCTGTTGTGTGTAGTATTGTTTTCCATCCTTTGACTTTCAGTCTGTGAGTTTCCTTTTGGGTTAGATGGGTTTCTTGTAGATGGCCTATGGTTGGATGTTGTTTCTTGATCCATTCTGCCCACCTGTTTCTTTTAATTGGTGAATTGAGATCATTTACATTAATGGTTGTAACTGTTATATATTGCTTTATTACATGTAATCTTTCTACTGTTACATCTTTATCTTTCCATTCTTTGTAATTGTCTGCTTTGCTTAGTGGTTTTTTCCTAAGTGCATCTAAACTGTCTTTCAGTATTCTTTACATGGTTGGCTTGGTGATCATGAAGTTCTTCAGCTATTCTTTGTCATCAAAGTATCTTATTTTTCCATCCATTTTGAAGGACAGTTTTGCAGGGTACATCAGTCTAGGTTGGAAATCGTTTTCCTTTAGGATCTGAAATACCTTACTCCATGCTCTTCTTGACTTCATTGTTTGTGTTGAGAGGTCTGCTGTAATTCTGATAGGCTTTCCTTTATAGGTGATCTGTCTTTTCTCTCCGACAGCTTT